CAAAGAAAAAAACACGTTTTGTCGTAATCAGTTTTCAATGATAACATTTGATAAAGTTGTTCAATATTCATCTTGACATTCGGTTATCGTTGGGGAGGTTTTTTGGGGATGAATTGTTATTTGTTTCATGTCTTTGAGAAGGAAGTTGTCACTATGACTTTGACGTTCGGTTAACATTGGGTTTTTTGTGATTTGTGTTTTTATGTCTTTGTGAAGGAATTTACCACTATGATTTTGATATTCTGGATTAACTGTGTTGTTGCAATCGGTTTCATAGCAATAATGTACGAGCCTTATTTTAACTCTGTGAAAATCTTGCGAAATATGGCACCACACAAGGAGATAAGGGGGTTTGAAAAGACCTATCTTGTGGAACTCTAGATTTTTGAAAATATTGTGGAATGCTGTACAACACAGAGAGATAGTAGAAAAGATTGAAAAGTACCACACCTTACGGGATGATATGATAAACAAATAATGTTCCAGCATAATAAATATAAAATATTTCATAAATTTTTCATGATCCAGCTTTTCCAAACGCCCCCAGTCCTTGCTATGTCTATTCCACCGAAGTTATATCGCCGATAAAATTTTCAAGATGACAGATCGCTAAATTCACTTTCATGTCTATATGTGACATTACATCATACGGCGTGGATAGGACGTGTATTGTTTACATCGGACGTAGTAACAGAAACTGCTCGGGCAGACTTGGTGCCTTTTACTCATTTTATGCTTCGCATACTATTTTTGATAGTAAATATCTTTTATTCAGATTTTCTTCCTACACCTTTATTTTCTTCTTAATAAATTAAAAAAGTATTTTAGAATTTAGTTTTTTTGAAGAAAGAAAGTTATTTTTGAGAGCTTATTAACTCGCCCCGATGTCACACCCTCTCAGGAGGGGGTGGTGTAGGGTGGAGGGGGCGGCGAATGGTTTAACGAATGGTTTGCATTTAATTAGAAGGTTTGCCATTAAGTCAAGGTGCCTGGTTTCGATTCCCTGTTTGTACGTGACAAGGAATAGGGTCGCCTGTTCAACCACGTGGGTTTTCTCTGCCCCCCACCCCTGCAACTGTTAACGGCCTCTACGCGCAAGCGAATTATTAAAATAAAATTGAACCATATTTTAGTCCATAAATGACCTAGTTGTGGACGTTAAACCTGATGTTTCTCCCTCATCCCCTCTCAGTTATAGCGGATATTTACTGCTGATCTGTTTGGGGTAGACTGGGTAGCATGTCTATGTAAGACAGGAATATTTATTCACTCCCTTTAATGACTAATCTTGCGTTATTTGAGATGCCAATACCAAATAAAATCAATGCAAGACAAACACTGTACGACAGATTTACTCATGTTTTCCTGAGATTGCATAATTTATCTGTTGTAGGTTATATTACTGTATGTACGCCGTTTTACTGGTTATACAACGAAAATATGCCAAGTAATCCGAATATATATATAATATACCCAATATACACATGTTTTTGTCAAGCTTACTTTCCCTGGGGCTAAACAACCAAGGCTGCTTTCCTTTGGTGGTGGTGGTGGGGGGGGGCGAAGGTATGTCAAGGAATAGCGTCTAGTCGTTCGTATGGGGCCAAAAATACGAGGGAAATAACCTTCGGCATTATAATTCGATGAGGAATTGCAGGAGATGCTGCTGCCTGGCCACAATTTCCCTCATCACACTGCATGGCGTGTTTGCGTCGGTTGGTGAAGAAAAGTATGACGTTAAACCACATTTTATGCCAGCTACGAGAAATGAAAAGCCACGTTTGCAAAAGAACTAAATTGGGTCGTGTGGACACACGCGCACTAGCCTCACGTGGCAGAGAACCATTTGAAATCCGGACGACGGAAAAATGTGGTTTAACGTCCACTCGACTTAAACTAGTTAATTTTAGAACTAACATAACGTTCAATTCTATTTCAATAACTTGACCCGGAGAAATACCACAAAGTTGGACAGGCGACCCTACTCCTTGTCACCTACAAGCAGGGAATCAAAACCACGTTAATTGACTCAATGACAAACCTCGAGCCACTCGACCCCACAACCCCTAAATACGAGTAAATAAAAATGGGCTTCGTGCCATAGCATATAATTTGTCCTTGACTTATACAATACTGAATATTCTACAAGGGGAAATAAAAAAAAAGATATTATGTAAATTTAGACAATATAATAATTACATACTGGCTATAAAACCTTTATTATTGTTGGGACATAATATTCTGATGTTTCATTGTAGACATTATATGGCTATATAACCCGATTCCCCGTTGTGATGTAATTTTCTCAATGTCTGGCGTAGTTGTTCATAAATAAAGGGAATCTCGAGGATATTCGTCTTTGTACTTCTACAAGAATGTGATGTTTCTCATGATAAGGGCAGGAAGACCGTACTACACACAAACAAAACCAATAATATAAAACTGTGGACAACACAAAAACTACACAGACACAGACATTCCAAGCAATAACTAAAACAATCAAGTGCATGGGCCCGGGAGACAGCCATAGGAATAATGTAACCGGCCTTGACGGTGGTCGTCTACTGAATGGTATCGATAGTCATTGTAAAGTAAAATTGCAATAGTCCCAAAATGACCTAGTTTGTGTCGAGTCAACATCTCTCTCTCTCTCTCTCTCTCTCTTATCGAAGCACGTGTATAATTATAATCTGAGAAATAACAGGATATTTACACCCTTAATGTGCTTTCGGCACATAGTTCATGTAATATAGACAATAATGGGTGTGGGATGATTAATATCTAAAGAAATATTATATTAAATTTCCGATTCTAGGCATTAGAACGGAGAATATCATGACGTAATATTCCTTTCCTGCACCTGGAAAACCCAAGACAATACCCTCACGGATAGAAACGTCATTAAAATCACTTTATATTGTGTTTGCGTATGATTATCAACGTTAATTACTAAGATTAAGGCTGTAATAGGATGTTCCCCGACCCTGGGTTCGATGTAGCATTCTACGCTCACTCTAAAGGTAGTAATTGTTTTCTATCGATTTAAATAGTTTAGGCGCTTAAATCGAACATATCGCGGACCAAACTTTTATTCCAAGTTATATTAAGGTGATTTCACACTAGGGGTCTAATCGGAATTGAATTCAGAATAAGCTCCGAATTCAATATGGAACAACTATTTTCAATCAGGTTATTCGCAGTCAAAATTTGAGTATGGCGCGATTGGTTCAAATCAACGGGTTTACCGGAACCTTGCGGGCAGGTTTACTTCTATTTCCGTTTTATCGCTTGAAGGGAAACGTGAGTATTTTCCGGGCCAATAGTCTGCAAATAAATAAAAACATGACTATTGCAAACACAAATCTATTTTGTCTTTTCTCGTTTCCACTATTTTTGCATGGTTGCATTTTGCCCTTAATTGTTATAGACGATACAATACTGTTTTATTGAATTTAATGCAAATGATAACTATTAGTCACGATGTTTTGCGTTTTATTACCTAAATTACAAATTATCTTGACTGTTATCTCACAGTACTACACATATAGAGTAGTATTTAACACAATAACTCAAACTATGAGTTAATTTAAACAATATTTTATTAAATAAATTAAATTGGGTTCAACAACTGGCAAAAGTTTATGATATAAGTTTTCTCTGAGTTGTTTACGCGGCCCTAATATTGCAAATTTGGAATTACTGGATTAGTTGTTACCTTGGGGGACAACCCAATCACCAGTGTTATTTGGACAGTAATTCGTATACATAATTACCAAAATTATAACCAATAAAATGATAAAGAAGTCTGAGTTTCGATATAAAAATAATCATAAAATACCAATTAAAACAAATTATACGTCTGGATGTTACCAAATTTGAATTTTTTCCGTGTCTTCTGACACCATTTAGTTAGTTCTTAACAGTTTTTATGATAGTTTCATTACGGGGAATGACGAATTGGCCGCCTTGAACAAAATCCCTTGTTCATTTCTTGAAACATGGCGCTCATTATCATTTTATATCATGTTTTGTTATTGGACAGAATAATTAATTACATCAATTTTCAGCTACCAACCAAAGACTTATAAAGTCTGTAAGCTAATGTATATATAGAAGATCACTATGATTGTTGTCGACTTCTAATAATTTGGATGAGTATATCGAGTCGTACAAGAGAGAGCCATCCATTATTATTGCTAATATTGATTCAGGCCTGATGATGGTCATATATAGCCCATAGTTGGTGGAGATGATCAAATCGTTTGGTATTTATTATAGCATTAGATGTTTAATGCTGGTATTGATAACACTGTGACTGTTGGAGCGACAACAGCTTAGCGGGTGTCTAAAATGGAACTATCCCAGAAGGTGAGTTGCTAATATCATGATTTAAGATAAAGACGAAAATAACCTTTAATAGAAAAACACATAGATACCGGTTTTAATAGCTGTCACGCTGTATCAGGGTCATTTATAGTTTATGAGTATTTCGCTACAAGACCTCCATCAGTTGTAAAATATTTTTATGGCAAGAGGGCATATCACTACTTAATGTTTCAGAAATCGTCAGATTTGAATTAGTGTTTAAACAATGCCGCTAATAACTAGTAGGTGTCAATGTCGTTAATAATTAGTAGATGTCATAAAAATAAAATTAATGTTATGGCTGTTCAATAGAACAACCCGCAGAAAATAACTGAATAGGTTTGTAAACTATTCCGTCGATTACTGGCAGATGTCATAAAACTACACAATATAGTGATATTGCTGTTTTATCGAATAGTCCGCAAAAAATAACTCCGTTTGGTTTTCATGGGTTGATTCTGTAGATTATTCTAAAATTCAACTTGACCGAGTAAATATATGTATTGAATACCACACCATTAAATTATAGACCCGTTCATGCCTTACCAAAACACCTGTTTAAAGCTGTATTGATCGTAAACAACATATAAATATTAAATGTATCTACACCCAAAACATTGATGTCTATGATTTGTGTGTGTTAAGACGCCAGGGATCCGTGGTGGCTCTGTGAGTAAGGCGCTTGCTCGCTAACCAGGGGTCCAAGGTTCGATCCCGGTGTTGGCCGAGAACGGCTCCTGGGATTTTCCAGTGTGACTGGTTTCAGGACGGATGACCAGGCAATGACAGTGTCTAATTGTTCGGATGGGATGAAAAACCGAGGTCTGATTGTCATGCACGTAAACGGACCCTTGACAGTTGGACTCGAAACAAGAGTAAAGCGTAGCGCCGCTGCCCGTCTTCATTTTCATTAGCCAAATCGGTGCAGAAAAGTAGGACGTTAAACCGCTTTTCATTTCATTTTATTTTGTGTTAAAACTCCATCAATAGCCGTAGACGTTAAACAATTCGTTCAATATGTGACGAAAAGGAACGAAGTGACACAGATGATCGAATTCGTAGCAAGTGCACCGGGTGCGCATATCATATTCATCACAACCCTCCATTCCGTTTCAATGGCGATAATGGAAATTGAAAATCAACATGTGTAAGTAAGTTGATAAGTTTTTACTGAATTCTGCACGTCCATTCACTACTAGAAGATAAAGGAGGTGTTGTCTCAATATTTATTTTTGTAATCAACAAGTCTGAAAACGAAATATCAATAGTAATCAACATTCATGAATAGGTGGTATGTATAATTCATTATTTTCATTGACATTCTTGGCTTACTACAGTATGCTTAGACATGTTTCATTCGTCCTTTCATTTTTCATTACATCAGTCTCTTAATAATACAGTTTAAAGTGGCTAACACACCATAAATGTGGTATATCCATTACCGCAATGGACTCGTGGTTACAGTTTAAAGTGGCTAACACACCATAAATTTGGTATATCCATTACCACAATGAACTCGGAGTTACAGGTGGCTACGCCCCGTTTTAATTCAGTAAATCATTATCGGTAATTTCTTTTAAACCCAGACGCCCCGGTTAGCCGTAAGTAGTGACAAATGTCGTACACGAAGCAGGCTATGATAACCGTCTCCAGATCACCCGATACCGCTTCTAGTTTGAAGGTTCATAAAGCTAAAACAAAAATATATTTCATTGAAATTAATGCAATTTACTGATATCCATATTGTCGTTTAAAATTGTGTTGTCTTTATGGTATTCTTGTAGTGACGGGAATCGTGCATGAGGGTATGATGGAAATGGGATGTACACAAATACGTGGATCTAGTTGATAAATATTTTCAATTTTGGTCAAGGACCACTTAGGAGATAATATCGTATTCCACTTTCCCCAGCTTTAATTTTCTATTTAAATTCATATTATCTATAGCTTTTGTGTATATTCAATAATATATAGACATCGTTGCATTTGAACGATTCTGGCGGACTTTGGAATCGAAATTGACGTCAAAGCTAGTAATGTTTAAAGGGCCCATACCTCTATTCTTTGGAAGGAAAATTTTCGGTGCAATATGTTAAAAGTCAAACTGAACGACAGACGGATGCACCTGCGCAGTCCATTCCACGCGTTTTCTTTATTTATATTATTTTATCGTTTGTGAATTAGCCATTTTATTACTGGGGTATGTATTTCTTTGTTCATTACAAATAGTGCTCAAAATCATAGAGTACACGACGTCGTCCTGTTCTGATTCTAAAATGACCACTGTATTTTTTAAATATAAGATATTATGACTCCATGTTTTCACGGTAAGATAGCAACAGAGATATAGAATTAAAATTTTAAATATTATGAATAATACTGAGTTCGAGGTCTAGCTCCTTTAGAATAGCTGACGATGTGAAGCTCATTTTTGTGTAACATCTTGCAATAAAGCATAAATATTAATATTATGACACACAATACGTCTATGTTTATTCTGAAGTTATTTTTATTGCTTATACTTTATATACAATACTATTGACAATTTGAAATTATAATATCCTTTTGTGGTTGGCGACGTGTGCACGACTATAGAAAACCATTTCATTGGAATAGACAACTAGTGTAGGCAAATATTAAAATTGATTTACTGCAAGAAAAAGAGAGCATGAATATTTAATCCGGCGTTACTGTTCAAAACTCCTTAATCAAGTAGCATTACGTTCACCGTTTCCGGATTATTTTGTAATACTTTCCTGTTAGACATCATCTCACGCAATCTGTTTATTTTATTTTATACTTTCCTCGTAGGTTTAAAAAAAAAAAAAAAAAAAAAAGAATTCCAGATAAGCTTACTATTAAAATTAAAGATAAGTTTGTTTTATAGTTTTTAAGATCTCTTGGATATTATGTTTCCAGATCAGCTAGATATTATAGTTCCAGATCAGTTTATTATTATAGTTTAAGATCCGCTTGATATTATAGTTCCAGATCAGCTTGATATTATAGTTTAAGATCCGCTTGATATTATAGTTTAAGATCCGCTTGATATTATAGTTCCAGATCAGCTTGATATTATAGTTTCAGATCCGCTTGATATTATAATTTCAGATCAGCTTGATATTATAGTTTCAGATCAGCTTGATATTATAGTTTCAGATCCGCTTGATATTAGAGTTTGATATTATATTTCCAGATCGGCTTGATATTATGGGTTCAAATCCGTTTGATTCTATTTGGTTACGATCAGCTGCATGATATTGCTTAAGATCAGCTTGATACTATTTGGTTAGGATCTGTTTAATAATTGTTTAATATCAGATTGATGTTATTGGTCACGATCTGCAGCTAGATATTGTTGTTGAAGATCCACTTGATTCTATTGGATAGATTAGCTGAATATTAATTATAGTATAAGATCAGCTTAGGACATATTGTTATCATTCACATTATTCAGCCCCCACCCTACCCCATCCCTCCAAGTCTGGAGGTAGAAATACATAAATAAATTTTAGAAATGTACGTGCGCAAACGGGAAATATAACAAGTAAAGTGAAAACTCAGGGTGGGTGAAATTAAATATGAAGCTAAACGGTGTTAGCTTTAGGTCATTGCTATTGTCTATTATATCTATAGAGAGATAGAAAAGCGTCGGACAATTATCACTTCCAACACGACTCCGGTCCCTTGACTAAATAAAACAATTGGCAGTCTGGCACTACTGTCGCCATAACAAATTCCCCTGTCGACCATAAACGGGTCGAAAAAAAAGAACTAATTACAAATTTACGCCATTTTGACTTCTGGCTCGCTAACAAGGAAGTCTCGGGTGCGCTCCCAGTGTTAACCGAGAAAGTTTCTCGGGATTTTCCGGCGTCGCTTCTATTTGTCGGTGGTGCAGAGTGGAGGACCTGCCAAGGATATTGTCTAGTTGTGGGGATAGGGCGAAAAACCGGTCCTGTGTACACTTTGGCGAGGACGTGAAATATCCCTTCACACATGGAATTTGATATAAGAGTAGGCCGTAGTGCCGCAGTCGGGGCAACATTACTCCCCATAGCACACTATGTGGCGTATTCCCGTCTTCAATAGCCCTGTCGCTGTTGTGTTTTGTATAATAAACACATGTATAAATGATATATTAATTAAGTCCAGGTGGCCCTTGTTAATCTGGTGTTTAGATTTCCTACCACTTAATACCATATCGATATCTATGTCTAAAATCTAACCTACAAATAAGCCGATTTCCTCTAACTACCTGGCGTGGATTAACTTATTTACTTACAGCATTATATGTGGATTCATATATAAACTATAAACTTCCATTGTGACGAAAACCAGGGTCGCCAAGTGAGTATGGCACCTGCTCACTGACCACGAGGTCTCGGACTTCACCTTTGTCAGTGGTGCAGGGCGGAATATATGGCAATGAAATACATCTAATTGTGCTAACGAATAACCGAGGTTCCATGGATTTCATAGTCTGTACGTCAAAGATCCATTGACAGCTGGGAATCCAAACAAGAGCCGGCCATAGTACCGCAGGGCCTCGGGGAAATCACCCCCTCCCAATCGCACACTGCATTGCCCCGATTGGTACGGAAAAGTAAACCGCATTTCACTTCAGTTATTTATAAATATAATGTCTAGGCTTATAATATAAAGTATTAAAATGTATCTTAAAAAATCGTGTTGTACGGCAATGACTATCTGTGCAAGATTATTAGGAGCCAAAACCAAAGTCCCGTTTATACCTTGGTATGCACGTAAAAGAACCCTTGACGGTTGGAATTCAGTTACTACCAGACCAAACATTCCCACAAAGCACACTGCATGGCGTATACCCGTCTTGGAACACAAACGTAGGACGTAACATTCCATTCATTAATGCATTCATTATTATAATGTATTATAATATCGTAAATAAATGCTTATTTTTGTAAATGTATATCTATCAATTTATATACGAATGATATTCAGAAATTATTATTGGGATAGGAATGAGGATGTTTACTTAACTATCCTATTCTCTTACAAACCATTCTACTTGGTAGAGATTTCGATTTTCATTCCTGGAGAGAAAAAAATGGAGATGGTTGTAATAACCTCCCAGTCCTGAAGAATGTAGAATTATTTCAATTATCCACAAGAAAAACGTCCTACACACTATCGTTGCCTGGCTTTTGTAATTGGAGGAATCTTCGGGAGGAAATTAAAGATTTTTTCTATATATTTCTGTCGGAGTAAATGCGATAGTTTTTGCATTCACTTAGATTGAATTCTGCAGTCTGTAAGTTGGTAACTGCTTCATTAAAAGAAAAACAATTTTCTCTAAATTGACCACCAGTAATGAATATTGATTCAGTGTCTCCAACAAATGTGTTTTTTATATTGTCGACAAGTTATTTGTGAAAATCTCTATATTTTTTATGAGTTTTGTATCCTTATTTTTCCGAATTGATACGAATTAATCGCGAGAATGTTATCGACCTTAACGAATTAAATAATCACATAATCGATCGATAACTTACATTTTTACTCTCCGCCGTTGTTCAATAAATTTTAGCACCTAATAATATTGGTTTTTAAAACTTCTGTTTTAATGTGATTTGTTTTCTTAATACTGTTTTTTAATTAAAGGATCTAATTACAAGGATGCCATCCATCTTAACGAATTAAAGAATCACTTAATAGATCGACAACTACAATTCCTGCAAACTTTTACTTTCCGTTGTTGTTCAGTACATTTTTGCAACTAATAATATTTGTTACCATAGCTTCGTTTTAAATGTGATTTGTTTTGTTAATACTTTTTTAAAAAAAAATTAAAGGATCTAATTACAAGAATGCCATCGATCTTAACGAATTAAAGAATCACTTAATAAATTGACAACTACAATTCCTGCAAATTTTTACTCTCCATTGATGAACAACACATTTTTTCACCTAATAATATGCGTTGAAATGAAATGAAATGAGATGAGGTTTAACGTCCTACTGTTCTGCTCCAAACTGGGCTAATGAAGACGGACATACGCCATACAGTGTAAAATGAAGGAAATTTTACCCGGACAGCGTACCTTTTACGTACACGCCAATGTGTATACGGGACCTCGGTTTTTCGTCCCATCCGAACGACTAGACAGTTGTC